AATGTAGGATGTGTACTTGTATTCACATACTCGGTTATGGCGCTATTCTTGATTTATCGATGATTTGTCTGATTTCCGTAAAAACTAGCTACCATGTCCAACTTCTTATATTATGCAGAACAACATGATCCCGGTTGCGTTGTTACGTGCTTCTCATCATCTATTGTAATTGGTTCCATAGCGTCGCGGTGCGTCGAACGTCCGGGGTAGGCCCCATGCGTTAGCTACAAATGGGTCGACAAGTTCGTAGGGGGGGGAGGGGGGGGCGACAGCCAAGCACTTAGTGCACAAGGTAGGGTGGAGTTTAAGCGGTTTGCCCCCACCCCCCTCAAGCGCATGCTAACTTGCGTTACCCGGCAATCATTTTCATCCTTCCCACTGTCCTGAAATGACGTTTTCTGGTCGAAACGTCTTTATTCCAAACTAAATCCGGGCCGGATTCCCTCATCTTTATCCTTGCTATATTCTGAATCCTCACGACGCCCCGCTCACCCGGGTTAGGTTACAGGGCGTCAGCGACGAGTGGGCCGAGAAGCTACCTGGAGGGGACCACAACCGGGACGCCCCTGCGCGAGCTAAGGCCCGGCGGTTGCCCCACCACCCTCCAGGCGCATGCAGATCTGCCCACCGTTATCCATTCTCACTCATCCCATAGCCTTGAAATGGTCATTTCTGGTCGAAGGGGCTGTAATGCAACAGCCAATCGTGATTGACACTCCCCACACCGTCCCCAATATTGATTAAGAATCAGTTGACGTACATTATGCCTGGAGATAATACTCCTGAGCGTCAGATCTGAACGGATCGTCTGTTATATTATTGACTTGGAATGCCGCATGGCATACGGGAGTGCAGGATTCGAATTTGGTTCTATGGCTTTATGCATGCCTGAATGACTTTGAAATAGTACTGCACGAAATAGCCCACACATCTTCGCGGCCATGCACCTCAGAAATGCCTCAGTGCAAGTTTTAGGTCTTGGAAAGGGCAGGGTGGGGGGGGGGGGGCAGGGCTGTAATCTGCACAAGATAATCTTCAAAGTATTTATTTTAACTCAAAACCCCCTACAGATGTGGAACACCTTATCTATGGACGAAAATTTAACGAAAGTTAACGATTCTGTGAATGGCGTTCATCGTTAACGAAATCGTTAATCTGTTGACAAAAAATGAACCAGTGATTTGACGGATGACCTGTTTGAAGAATATGTGCCCACCTCTGGCTGTGACCCTCCGGCTGTCACCCCTCACCATGCCCTGGAAATGTGTCTGCGCTATCGCTTAGGATGGACGCGGGGTAGCAGACCGCACCAGACGGAGGCAGCATGGATCACCGAAAATCAGGGCTTTATCCTAAGGTATAGAAAAAACGTTACAGGCGCTGACATTTGTCACGATAAAGGAAGTCGTCAGGGTGAAATAGGATTGCCTTGTGCTACCGTACCAGCGTATTCCTAATGGCGCAGAAAAATGCGGTTTGTCAAGTTTGGTATGGTATCTAGTATCTGCCAGCACATTTGCAGACACCTGCCCGCTTTTGAGCCCTTTTATTCTCGCTTTACGGGCGTGCGGGCTTAAATGGGGCGCCTCTTGGACACAACAGCTGACGGCTGCAGAATGTGGAGAGGACTTTGTAGCCAGTCAGCAGGAGGTGAGAGGGCCTTAGCTTCCTGGCTACCAATCCAAACGTTAGTAAACACAACGCCGGTTCCCCATATTTTGGTAAATTCCAAGCTTTTGACCGTATTCATATTTGGAGTCATATCGCGGGGCGTTCGAGCATGTCGAGCGCAGCAGTGCGAGCTCCTCGCGCCCAGCGTGGCAGGCGTCGCGTCGAGCACCGAGCGGCACACGCCTGCTGGTCGTGGGCTGGTCAGGTCCCGAGCCGGATCTACAGATCCAACAGAGCCCCTCACTCCGTAGCTCCCAGCGCTGCAGGCCGCTGAATCACGTCGGCGGCAGCTCGTCCGCTGTCGCCGCTGCGCACGGGTCGGCGGGCGGCTTGGCCGGTCGGCCGTCGGCGCCGTGCCCGACAGACGGCGCCGCGCTGCCACCCCGCTCCACGTCGGCCACCGAGTCGGGAGACCGGCGCCGTGCGTCTCCGGCAGCAGCAACGTGGCCAGACCGGCCAGCAGCGCGGCGGCACCGAACACGGCCGACGGTGCGCTGGCCCCGCAGCTCGCTCACCAGGTCCACCACGAACGGCGAGACGGTGGCGCCCAGCCGCAGCGCCACCTGGCACCACGCCGAACCCGACGGCGCGCACGCTCGTCGGCATGTACTCGGGCGAGTAGGCGTACATACGCTAAACGCCAAGCTGACGCTGAGCTGGCCGACCAGGCCGAACGCCAGCCGCACCGGCGGATGGCTGACGGCGAAGATGACGAGCATGGCGGCGGCCGAGATGAAGAAGCAGGCGGCCGTGGGCCCGCGGGCGGCCCAGCCGGTCGATGATGGGGAAGAAGAGGACGGAGGGCAGATTGAGCAGGCCGAGGAGCACG